ATATGTGGATTGTTTTAAAATCTGCTCGAGTCAGATGTGACGCTTGTTTATTATAATCACTTTTATTTCATATAAATTAAAAACAACTGAGGTTTTGCAGTTTCCTGTGGTAGCTGTTGTTCTCTTAATGACCAGCAGGAGGCGCAACAGACCAAACATTTCAACTTGACCTTTAGTTTTTTTTTTCAAAACTGATGAGAATTTTTTTAAATAAGAGATTTAATTCAGTTATTTAACAGTATTTATAAAAACAAGCAGTTTGAATAAAAAAAAACATTTTTAAGCTGACCTGCTGCAGATGATGTGAAAATCAAAACTGAATCAGCTCTGAAGTCCAAAAAAGGCCGTGTTTTACTGATAACTGTTGTGTGGAAAACTGGAATCCTGATTCATTTCAGCTCATCTTTACTCCCAGATGTTTTAACTGGAACAGGATGAGGAGTGTCAGTTGTGTCACTGGACAAACACTTATCAAGAGAAATGTTTGACATTTAGGAGGAGGTAAAAGATCCTTTAGGCTTTAACGTGTCAAACTCATCAGCAACAAACCCTTCTAATATTCAGTCACAGAACGTTCAGAAAAAATAATCATAGAAAGAACCACAAAAGGCAGCAGAAGCAACACAAATTTGGTGGTTTTCCCTGACCTGGAGGCCTTCGTACTCCCTCTCTGAGTGTTTGGAGCTGCTGAACCAGTTTTCTGCTGACAGTCTGCAGGTGGCCTCAGCTCTGTCTGAATGAAACTCTTCTTGTCAAACAGAGCATGCTGAAGCGCCGGATGAGGTCACGCATGACAAACTCCATCACTTAATGTACTTTCAGGAGTCCAAAACGTCCCCAAACACTCTGTGATTCAACAGGAACTTGTTTAATTCAGAGTATTCTCAAAGTGAGGTAAAAACAACCATTTACAGGATGTCAAACAGTGTTTAAACATGTGATGCTGTGTGACGTATTAAAGTTTTGTTTTTGTTGCTTCAAGTACACACAAGCCTGTTTTTATTTGTTTCTTTTTAAAGATGTTTGGAGTTTTATCTTGATGACAGCTTGATGAAGTCATGGACAYGTCTTCATCCAAAAACACAAATAAACAAAAAAAGGATGTAACAGATATTCCGCCWGGCGTGTCAAGGCTGGGCCGACCTTTAAAAAAGGCCGAGTGTACAGAACGATCACTTTCACCCTGGCATCATTTTCTCTTAGTCATTTATTTTGGTCACCTCTGTGTTTTCTTTTCCAAACTGTCAARATTGTTTATTTTTTAATCTAAAATACATTTAAAAAAGAAATCCATCAGCTGAAATGTTTTGGAGTGTTTTTTAAACTGATACGCATTTTGTCAGATGTTGAAAAAAAAAAGAGAAAAATAAAGCAGGATCGATGAAAACCCGACACTTTCAGACCCTGAAAGCATCACCTTGAAGGTGAACGCATCTCAGAAACTTCCTCCYTCCTGAGGCAAAAATGGTAAAGACAAAGCCTCTGTGTGCACGTTCTCGTGGGTTTATCTGTGAAACTGTTCAACATGAACATCAGCAGCGTGACCTGATCTTTTCCCAGAAAACCTGCATGAACTTCTACAGCTGTGGCTTTTATAGTCAAAACAGTGATCAAACTTTAAAAAATAAAATGACTTTTTTTTTTACTCATTGTTTCTAAACGGCTCCATTAAATTTACTAGATGATCCAGGCCAGGAAAAATATACTTTATTAACTTATTGAGCAGTAAAACTTGTCYCTTAAAGTCTTGCAGTGGAACTAATTAAATGCAATCGCCTTCAAAAAACAATAAGACACAAAAGACCGARCTTTGCACTTAAATGCAACTTTTATTTTCTTTTTGTTTTTTGCAAATACACTAGAAATCTTTTACAAAAGCACTGTATAAACATCTGTGCACTGTAAATTATCAAAACTAAAAATGGATATTACTTTAGACATTATTTTGCACYTAACATGACAAAATGATGGGATGAGGGGGGGTGGGGGATTGTCATCTTCAGCAGCAAAACCAAAATTAGTATTTCTCAAAAAGGGAAATGTCTGTTAGAAGGTTGAAATGGGAAGACATGGGTGTTACAAAAGAAATGGATAAAATAAAAAATAATGACCAAAAAAAAAGAGAGATGGCACTAGTGCTCATAACTGAAGGAGGGCTTCATTCATCTAAATATGATCCACCGCATTAAAAAGCTTCACTCAGTCAAGATAATCAGCCTTCCAGCCAATCGCTCCAGTTTGTCAGAAATGGTGCATTTTCTTCCCCCACAAACACACAAAACCAGAACTACTTATAAAACACTCTGTACAACTCTGTCCCCAGTGTCWCAAACTGGTCCATCTATTTATATATTTATATATTATCCAGTGATAAAAATAATTGAAATGATAATGAAATGAGCTTTTACTCAATAAGTGACTAAATCACGCTACAGAAATTAGGAAAGTACTTATACATTAGGAAAAACTAACAAAGAATACAACTTAAATATGTGGCCCCTTGAAAAAAAACAAACATCCACAGTGTGATACACAACTTTGTATTGCTTCGTTTTACATTAATACTGAGATTTTCTTTTTGCTGCTCTAAGAGAGCATTGATTTAACTTGCGCAGAGTAAGAAAAAAAATAAGCAATACCCATTAATTTTCTCTCTTTTTTTTTTGCCTTGATGTAAAAAGGCGCATACATACAAACATTCACACAACACTTCACAAAAGTGGTGGCACATTTGTTTTATCTTCGTCATCACTCTCTTTAAAAAAAGGTAGGCGGTGGCGGTTTTGTGGCACAGCTGTTATCACAGAAAGTAAACGGAGGGCGCCCAGGCGGATCGATACGGGTTATCTTTGGTCAAGTGGACGGGATGAGCCAACGAGCTCRGAGGACTGAACTCTGGGGTCGGCGTGGCGCCGATTAAGACCTTTAGAGATGTTTGATAAAAAAGGTGAACGACTATGAACTGCAAGTTTGCACAAGGTGGAGTACAAAAAGCGGTTTCACTCTGGACATTATTAATTAACTAAAGGTGTTTGCAGCATTTCTTTTTCTTGTTAATCTGAGAAGCAAACAAAAGTTCTTTTAACACGCTCTCCACCAAACTGACCCAGATTCAGACTTCCAGCCTCAAGTCTCAGATGATGCAGAGCTGGCTCGGCCCGTTTGAGCGCCATCAATAAACAGTTTGCTAATAAATACATGAATATATGGTTTGATCCCTGTTAAAGAAATGAGTGRTTTATAAGAGATGTTATATACGTCTTTAAAATGGCAGCAAGCTTTGGACTTTGGATCTTGTGCTCGGGTGTTTAAAAAAAGGTTGGCAACACAAAAGCCTTCAAGATTTTAAGGTTTGAATTAAAGCCCCCTTTTTGTTGTAGATCAACCCGGAACCAAACACCACATGTACAAATACAAATGTTATGGCAACTTTAGCAGCAATAACAAATACAAAGTATATCAAAAACAGAAGACACTCCCGTGTGCTGAAAGCAGGTAACAAACATCCACACACAGAAACAATACCCCTTGAAATGTAGTCAACACAAGGACCACTTGCATTGAAACAACTAGGACAAAAAAAAAAAAAAAAAACACAAACACAGTGGCACGATTTCCAGGCAAAGTGCGGGGAATTGTTCGCTATTATGGCCTTAAATTCACTGACAGGAGATGCGATGATGTGGCGGACAGAAGAGCTGAAACACAAAAAACGAACAGCGATTGCAACGTGGCACACCGGGCTCCCCGMCTCATTAATGGTCACGGCCCTTTGACAGTGTCTCTGACAGAAAAAAAAAAATAGTACAAACAACTTTGAGAAAGCAAAATACCTGGTAATCTTGTGTACAGACTGGTTTTAACAATCCTAATTGTGCTTTTTCTCTAATAYCCAACAGTGTAGACGTGAAGGAGCATCAACACTGCAGCCGTGTTAGTGTCTTTTCAGCACACCCAGGACTACTGGGTGGATTTGGTCAAATAGTTCCCCTTATACTTTTGTACAATTAAGTATTTCCAGCTTATTTTAACAGTGTATGAACATAAAGAACATGCTGAACTACTGTAAGGCAGAAAGCAGGTTCAAGTCTCCCTTGTAAGTTTAGTGGGTGTTTTTTGTTTCCTGACAAATTTTAACAATTTCATATCTAACTAGCCATGATATTAAAATAAAAAAAATTCTAGCCTAGGTCTCTGAGTATTTTCAACTCAACTAGTGAGGGGTTTTTTCATGTTTTAATACTACACCGTGCCTACATTAGGGAGAAACCAAACAACTGTCCAATAAAAAAGCAGGACATTAAAGGTGTGAGATAAAGGCGCACACAGTTTTAATAACATACTGGAAGAGAGGTGTGTGAAAGTCTGGGTGCACCGACCCACACTGAAAGAAAAAAAAAGAATCTTTTGGTGTGGCTCAGTTTTTGCTGTTTACAAAATATACGAAGTTAAYTTTAATTAGCAAAAACCTTTTTTCTTCCCCCCAAATCTGAGCCGATAGGAGCTCAGATGTTTGTCCTAAAGATCTGCGTGTAATCTGAAGGCTCAAAGGTTTCTCCTCATTTAACGTGGACACAAAGAAGAGCAGAAGAAGAAAAAATAAATAACCAACACGCTCCGGTTGTTGTTCATTTGAATGCTAAACACTCTGAGGTTTTGGCGGAGTCCGCTCAGAAGGTGGTGCATTCGTGTGCAACAGCAACACCTATGTTAGTTTGTTCCCGCAGAAGAATTATGGAAAAGGCTTTTTCCTGGCTGAGCACCCCCCCAGCTCACAGAAGTCCTCATTATGGGTTGACCAGGATGGAGGTGTTAGTTTAAGACTGGGGGGGTTGTTGCAGTACTGCAGGCAGTGGCAGCCATGCTCAGCAGATAGACAGGAGGAAAGACAGAAGAGGATCAGTGTCTCTGTGGACTGAATCACTGGGGTTTACGTCCCGGTTTTCCCCACCCGCTGTAACGTGACGCCCCCCACCCCGTGCTGCTCCCTCACCCCCCGTTCAGGGTGGGGTAGGGTGCAACCATCGATCAACACTTCTGGGCCTCCACTGGAGACATGGCGATGTACGAGCCGTTCTTGGCCGACTGGTTGGCTGGCTTTTCCGTYGAGTCGTCTGGTTTGTCGCTGACTGGCGTGTACGCCGTGTCGTCCTTCACCGTCTGAGTCAGCAAAACACAGAGCGTCAGTACAAAACAAGAAATGGAAAAAGACACAATATTTATATG